ACCAACTAAGCTAATAGGTCTTGTTGAATGTTACAAATCCTCAACACACCGTCGTTGCATTTTCCTACTACACATAAACTAAGGCTTTCACTATAAGAAGCTAATGAAACCCTATGGCTTCCTTGACAAAGCATATTCTAGTAACCATGTAGAACGACATAAACGGCTAATCGAATACGACGCTCTAAAAAATAAAGCTAATAGGCCTATTGTAGATGAAAAAAAAGGAGAAAGAATCAAGGCATGGAAATGTAAATGATGAAAAAAAACTAGCCCATTCAACTTTCAAGCCTGTGACTTTTGCATTATTAGCACGACTCTTTAGCCAACTGAGTTAATATACCTTGCTAATTGATACAAATTCTCACCACACAACTGTTGCATTTTCCTACTACATATAAATTATAGCTTGGCATAAATATTTAATCAATGTAAATGAATGGGCGTAGATGGAGAAAGGAGAGGAATCAAGGGCTCTAACAACACGAGCTAATAGGCAAAGAAATGTAGATGAAGAAAGGAGAAGAATCAAGGCATGGAATTGTAAATTATCAAAAAAAATTAACTCATGCAAATTTCAAACTTGTGACCTTTGCATCATTAGCCCAACACTCTAACAAACTAAGCTAATTGGCCTTGTTGATTGATAAACATTCTCACTACACAACGGTTACATATGCCTACTACACATAAACTATGACTTTCTCAATAAGAAGCTAACAAAACCCTATGGTTTCCTTGAAAAAACACATTCTAGTAGCCATATAAGATGGAATAAACCACTAATCAGCATGAGTGAATGGGCATAGATAGAGAAAGGAGAGGAATCAAGGCATAGAATTGTAAATGATGAAAAAGCACGACGTTCTAACCAATGAAAAAAATGTGATGGAAAAAAAAAGGAAAAGTAGGTATCAAACATATGAACTTCATATTATAAGCACGACGCTCTAATCAAGTTCTAACCAATGAAAAAAATGTGATGGAAAAAAAAGGAAAAGTAGGTATCAAACATATGAACTTCATATTATAAGCACGACGCTCTAATCAAGTAAGCTAATAAACCTTACTAATTGATACACATCCAAAGCACAAAACTCTAACTAATTAAGCTAATATGCCTATTGTAGATGAAAAAAGTAGGTATCAAACATATGAACTTCATATTATAAGCACGACGCTCTAATCAACTAAGCTAATAAACCTTACTAATTGATACACATCCAAATCACAAAACTCTAACCAATTGAGCTAATAGGCCTATTGTAGATGAAAAAATGGAGACCAGTAACCTTTGCGTTATTAGCACGATGCTCTAATCAGCTAAGCTAATAGGTCTTGCTTATTGATACACATCCTCACCAAACAACTATTGCATTTGACTACTGCACATAAATAACCATGTAGAATGACATAAACTGCTAATGAGCGGAAGTGAATGTCCATAAATTGAGAAAGGAGAGGAATCACAACATAGAATTGTAAATGATAAAAACACACAACGCTAACTAACCAACTAAACTAATAAGCCTTGCCGAATGTTACATATCCTCACCACACCGCTATTGCATTTTCCTACTACATATAAACTAAGGATTTCTCAATAAGAAGCTAACAAAACCCTATGGTTCCCTTGACAAGTACATTCTAGTAACCATGTAGAACGATATAAACGGCTAATCAGAGTAAGTGAATGGTCGTAGATTAAGAAAGGAGAGGAATCAAAATATAGAATTTTAAATGATAAACAAATACGAAGCTCTAACCAACAAAACTAATATGCCTATTATAGATGTAAAAAAGGAACAGAATCAAAGACATGGAATTGTAAATGATGAAAAAAAAATTGGCCTGTGCAAGCTTCAAAGTTGCAACCTTTGCATTATTAGCAAGACGCATATGCCTGGCTAATTGATACACTTTCTCACAACACAACCATTGCATTTTCCTACTACACATAAATTCAGATTTTTCATTTTTACCTTATTTGGTTAAGATTTTACTTTTATTTCTATAAATGACAAGATATTATGCTAGGCATATATTCTCGCTGGAAAAGGTGCGATTTCCGTCACGTTATTACCTTAATGAAAATGTTATGAGACCCTTATATTCCTATGTTCAACCCTTTTCTTTCCTTAAAAATGATTTTTGCTCTTCAAACTCACCTTCTGCTGTGTCCGAGGGTGTCTGAAAGAATAGGAAAACTGAGAGTGTTAGAGGGAAAAGCGTGTGGGTTGGTTCGCTGGTTTTCAGTGAGTTCTTAAAACATTGGGTTACTATTTCGAAGGAAGAATGGAGTAGAAGTGAAGTATCGACATCGAAATCATTGCGTCGAAGAAGGTTGACTGTTGTAATTGAAGAAGGTGTGCTGTGTGACCGTCGTCAGAATCGGAAGTAGAGAAGGCAGCGTCGATTAGGATTTCATTGTCTGGGGTGTAAGGAAGACGACAGGTTAGATTTGGGTCGGGTCTCACATTCGGCCTATAACCCAGCCCACAAACGAACGGGGGCCACGTTTGTTTCGGCCCAACACCGATCCAGCAAACGCACGCCTTTAACCATTGGAATTAGCGTGTTATGAGTGAATTCGGCCAAGGCCATCGAGGTAAGTGATCTTACTCTTGGAGTTAGCTTACTGCGTGTTGTATGATAGTGTGTGCCCTGTGGCCCCTAAATGCACCATATTTTATGTGATATGACTATATGATGTATGAATTATGTGACTGCTTACGCTAGGGAAAGTTTGAATTATGTTGACTGTTGACTGCTTACGCTATGAAAAATATGGATTATGTTGACTGTTGACACTGTGAAAAGTTATGGATTATGCTGACTATTGACTGCTTACTCCATGAAAAGTTATTGATGATGTTGACTGTTGACTGTTGACTGTTTATGTTGTGAAAAGATTGTTGATTTGCTAGTATTATATGCCATGAAAATGTTGATCGATGTCATAGATACATGTAGTATTATCGAGTCATGTCATGAGATGCTTATGGAACTGGAATGTATTTTCATGTTATGTAATATGTCATGTAATGTAAGTTATGTGATATGCCATGTATGGTAAGAAATGTATATGTGATGTTAGCAATGCTTTTGTAACGTCATGTTAGGTATGTTAATGGACCTCATGCATATATGTATTTCACTTGCATCGGGATACTTCCCCTTTATATTACGAAAGAATGAAATACAATATTTATGTTCATCATGATATCATGCGGGCTCTTTTCTATTCTGTGGTGTCCGGCGTCGTGTATTACATTGTGCCCGACCAAGCCAAGCCTAGGGGGTACGTATACGAGCCCACCTGGTGAGTCCATGTGCACGTAAATGGACCGTGTGTGAAGGAGTACACACATGCAATCCTATCTGGAATAGATAAGGTCATGTAAAGTTTACGAAAAGTTAGGTCCCGCTCATATGTTGCATGTGTTTGCATTTCTAACCCCAATAGTGGGGTGAATTACTGGTATTTCATAAAATACTCAAGCCACATGCTACCTACATTTTTCAAGTAAAGGCAAGGCGCCAATGTACAGTTGACGATGGAGCTAAGAACACCATGGAAGTGGACGAGGGACACTTTTACTGGCCAATGTACGGTTGACGGTGGAGCTGAGGACACCATGGAAGTGGACGAGGGACATTTTTAGTAGTTTATATTTATTTGACTAATTTAATTTAAAGCATTGAATATTGTTTATTTAGATTTGTTTTGAATTCCATTATTTAGAGATAGGTTTATTTTTTATGTTTGGACCTTTATGAAAGGCTAGACTAATTTAATTTAAAGCATTGAACATTGTTTATTTAGATTTTAAGTAGTTTATATTTATTTGACTAATTTAATTTAAAGCATTGAACATTGTTTACCACCTTTATGAAAAGCTTTGTTGTGTTTTCTAAAAGTTATTGATGATGAGGTTCCGCTTAATGAGGCATGGGTGACGTCACTAGTTAGGTCTAGAAAATTAGGGACGTTACATAAATTATAGAAAAAAACAAGCTCAAACTAACTGAGCTAATAGGCCTATTGTGGAGGAAAAATAGGGAAGAATCAAGGCATGGAATTGTAAATGATGAAAAAAACTTGGCCCATTCACATTATTAGCACGACATTCTAACCAACCAAGTTAATAGACCTTGCTTATTGATATACTTCCTCACAACACAATTATTGCATTTGCCTAATACACATAAACTATGGCTTTCTCAATAAAAAGCTAACAAAACCTTATGGCTTATTCTAGTAACCATGTAGAAGAACAACTCAATAGAGTAAGTGAAATGGTTGCACCCTTTGCATTATTAACCCATTTCTGACTATAAATGTTGTGTGCATTTTCAACGACATAAAAGGCGTTGGCCCATGCAGGTTTCAAACCTGTGACCTTCGCGTTATTAGCATGACACTCTAACCAACTGAGTTAATAGGCCTTGTTGAATGTTATACATAAAAAGTGATAAAAAAGTCCATGCAGATTCTTTGTTAACACAAAGCACATTCTAGTAACACATAAACGGTTAATCTGCGGAAGTGAATGGACGACACTCTAACCAATTGAGCTAATAGGCCTTCCTGAATGTTACACATCCTTACCGCACTATAGTTGCATTTGCCTACTGCACATAAACTAAGGCTTTCTTGACAAAGCACACTCGTTAAAAAAATTATGGCTAATCTGTGGAAGTGAATGGTCTAGATGAAAAAAATTGGCCCATGCAGGTTTCGAACCTGCGATCTTCGCGTTATTAACACGAAGCTCTAATCAACTGAGCTAATAGACCTTCCCGAATGTTACACATCCTCACCGCACTATCGTTGCATTTGCCTACTGCACATAAACTAAGGCTTTCTTGACAAAGCACACTCATTAAAAAAATTGTCCCACGGCTAATCTGCGGGAGTGAATGGTCTAAAGGCCTTTTTTCAAAAAAACTAGCAGAAGTGAATGGTCTAGATGGAAAAAACAAGTGATGAAAAAAATTGGCCCGTGCAGGTTTTGAACCTGCAACCTTCACATTATTAGTACGACGCTCTAACCAACTGAGCTAATAGGACTTCCCAAATGTTACACATCCTCACTGCACTACCGTTGCATTTGCCTACTCCACATAAACTAAGGCTTTCTTGACAAAGCACACTCATTAAAAAAATTGTCCCACGGTTAATCTGTGGAAGTGAATGGTCTTAAAGGCCTTTTTTCAAGCTAATCTAGCCTATGGAAGTGAATGGTCAAGATGAAAAAAACAAGTGAGGAAAAAAATTGGTCCGTGGAAGTTTCGACCCTGCGACCATTGCATTATTAGCACGACGCTCAAACCAACTAAGGTAATAGGCCTTCCCGAATGTTACACATCCTCACCGCACTGCTGTTACATTTGCCTACTGCACATAAACTAAGACTTTACACATCCTCACTGCATTGTTGTTACATTTGCCTACTGCACATAAACTAAGACTTTACACATCCTCACCGTACTGCTGTTACATTTGCCTACGTTTTCTTGATGAAAAAAAACAAGTGATGAAAAAAATTAGGTTTCAAACCTACGACCTTCGCGCTTCCCGAATGCTACACATAAACTAAAACCTGCACATAAAATGGCCCATGCAGGTTTCGAACAGGTTGCATTATTAGCCCAATGCTCTAACCAACTGCGCTAATAGGCCTTCCCGAATGTTACACATCCTCACCGTTGGCTTTCGTAAGAAGCCTTTTCTAGATGAAGAAAACAAGTGATGAAAAGATGAAAAAATTGGCCCATGCAGGTTTTGAACCTGCGACCTTCGCGTTATTAGCACGACGCACTAACCAACTGAGCTAATAGGTCTTCCCGAATGTTACACATCCTCACCGTACTGCCGTTGCATTTGCCTACTGCACATAAACTATGGCTTTCTTGACAAAGCACATTCTGGTAACGAACGAAATAAATGGCTAATCTGCGTAAGTGAATGGTCTGCGTAAGTGAATGGTCGTAGAGACGTTTCCTTGATGAAAAAAACAAATGATGAAAAGTATTGGCTCATGCAGATTTCGAACAGGTCGCATTATTAGCACGACACTCTAACCAACTCCTCTAATAGGCCTTCCCGAATGTTACTCATCCTCACCGCTCTGCCGTTTCATTTGCCTACTGCATATAAACTATGGCTTTCTTGACAAAGCACATTCTAATAAAGAACGACATAAACGACTAATCTACGCAAGTGAGTGGTCATAGAGACGTTTTATTGATGAAAAAAACAAGTGATGAAATAATTGGCCCATGCAGGTTTCAAATTTGCGACCTTCGCATTATTAGCACGACGCTCTAACCAACTGAGCTAATAGGTCTTCTCGAATGTTACACATCCTCACCGCACTGTCGTTGCATTTTCCTACTACACATAAACTAAGACTTTCTCGACAAAGCACATTCTAGTAAGAAACGACATAAACAGCTAATCTATGTAAGTGAATAGTCATAGAGGCCTTTTCTTGATGAAAAAAATGGGCCCTAGTAAGGAACAACATAAAAGACTAAGTCTTTTCTTGATAAAAAAAATTGGCCCATGCATGTTTCAAACCTGCTATCTTCAGATTATTAGCATCACACTCTAACCAACTGAGCTAATAGGCCTTCCCGAATGTTACACATCCTCATCACACTGTCTGCATTTGCCTACTGCACATAAACTATGGCTTTCTTGAAAAAGTACATTCTAGTAACGAAAGACATAAACGGCTAATCTGCGTAAGTGAATGGTCGTAGAGACGTTTCCTTGATGAAAAAAAAAACAAGTGATGAAAAAATATTGGCCCATGCAAGTTTCGAACAGGTCGCATTATTAGCACGACGCTCTAACCAACTCCTCTAATAGGCCTTCCCGAATGTTACACATCCTCACCGCACTGCCGTTGCATTTGCCTACTGCACATAAACTATGGCTTTCTTGACAAAGCATATTCTAGTAACGAACGACATAAATGGCTAATCTGCGCAAGCGAATGGTCGTAGAGACATTTTATTGATAAAAAGAAAACAAGTGATGAAAAAAATTAGTCAATGGTCGTAAGATGCCTTTTCTAGATGAAAAAAAACAAGTGATGAAAAAAATTGGCCCATGCACGCTTCGACCTACGACCTTCGCGTTATTAGCACGACGCTCTAACCAACAAGCTAATAGACCTTCCAAAATGTTACACATCCTCACCGCATTGCCATTGCATTTTCCTACTGCACATAAACTATGGCTTTCTTGAAAAAGCATATTCTAGTAACGAACGACATAAACGGCTAATCTCCGCAAGTGAATAGTCGTAGAGACATTTTCTTAATGAAAAAAAACACAGATTTCGAACCTGCGACCTTCGCGTTATTAGCACGACGCTCTAATCAATTGAGCTAATAGGACTTCCCAAATGTTACAAATCCTCACCGTACTGCTGTTGCATTTTACTACTGCACATAAACTATGGCTTTCTTGACAAAGAACATTCTAGTAACAAACGACATAAACGGCTAATCTGCATAAGTGAATGGTCTGCGTAAGTGAATGGTCGTAGAAACGTTTCCTTGATTAAAAAAACAAGTGATAAAAATATTGGCCCATGCAGGTTTCAAACTTACCACCTTCGCATTATTAACACGACGCTCTAACCAACTTCTCTAATAGGCCTTCTCGAATGTTACACATCCTCACAGCACTGCCGTTGCATTTGCCTACTGCACATAAACTATGGCTTTCTTGACAAAGCATATTCTAGTAATGAACGACATAAACGGCTAACGGCTAATCTGCGCAAGTGAATAGTTGTAGAGACAATTTCTTGATGAAAAAAAACAAAGTGATGATAAAAATTAAAACAAGTGACGAAAAAATTAGCCCATGCAGGTTTTGAACCTGCGACCTTCGCGTTATTAGCACGCCGCTCTAACCAACTGAGCTAATAGGCCTTCCCGAATGTTACACATCCTCACCGTACTGCCGTTGCATTTGCCTAATGCACATAAACTATGGCTTTCTTGACAAAGCATATTCTAGTAATGAACGACATAAACGGCTAACGGCTAATCTGCGCAAGTGAATAGTTGTAGAGACAATTTCTTGATGAAAAAAAACAAAGTGATGATAAAAATTAAAACAAGTGACGAAAAAATTAGCCCATGCAGGTTTTGAACCTGCGACCTTCGCGTTATTAGCACGCCGCTCTAACCAACTGAGCTAATAGGCCTTCCCGAATGTTACACATCCTCACCGTACTGCCGTTGCATTTGCCTAATGCACATAAACTATGGCTTTCTTGACAAAGCACATTCTAGTAACAAACGACATAAATGGCTAATCTGCATAAGTGAATGGTCGTAGAGACGTTTCCTTGATGGAAAAAACAAGTGATAGAACTATTGGCCCATGCAGGTTTCAAACTTACGACCTTCGCATTATTAGCACGACGCTCTAACCTGCGACCTTCGCGTTATTAGCACGACGCTCTAACCAACTAAGCTAATAGGCCTTCCCGAATGTTACACATCCTCACCGTACTGCCGTTGCATTTGCCTACTGCACATACACTATGGCTTTCTTGACAAAGCACATTCTAGTAACAAACGACATAAACGGCTAATCTGTGCACATACACTATGGCTTTCTTGACAAAGCACATTCTAGTAACAAACGACATAAACGGCTAATCTGCATAAGTGAATGGTCGTAGAGACGTTTCCTTGATGGAAAAAACAAGTGATAGAAATATTGGCCCATGCAGGTTTCAAACTTACGACCTTCGCATTATTAGCACGACGCTCTAACCAGCTTCTCTAATAGGCCTTCACGAATGTTACACATCCTCACAGCACTGCCATTGCATTTGCCTACTGCACATAAACTATGGCTTTCTTGACAAAGCATATTCTAGTAATGAACGACATAAACGACTAATCAGCGCAAGTGAATGGTTGTAGAGACATTTTCTTGATGAAAAAAAACAAAGTGATGATAAAAATTAAAGCAAGTGACGAAAAAAATTTGCCCATGCAGGTTTTGAACCTGCGACCTTCGCGTTATTAGCACGACGCTCTAACCAACTGAGCTAATAAGCCTTCCCGAATGTTACACATCCTCACCTTACTGCAGTTGCATTTGCCTACTGCACATAAACTATGGCTTTCTTGACAAAGCTCATTCTAGTAACAAACGACATAAACGGCTAATCTGCATAAGTGAATGGTCTGCGTAAGTGAATGGTCGTAGAGACGTTTCCTTGATGGAAAAAACAAGTGATAGAAATATTGGCCCATGCAGGTTTCAAACTTACGACCTTCGCATTATTAGCACGACGCTCTAACCAACTTCTCTAATAGGCCTTCTCGAATGTTACACATCCTCACAGCACTGCCGTTGCATTTGCCTACTGCACATAAACTATGGCTTTCTTGACAAAGCATATTCTAGTAATGAACGACATAAACGGCTAATCTGCGCAAGTGAATGGTTGTAGAGACATTTTCTTGATGAAAAAAAACAAAGTGATGATAAAAATTAAAACAAGTGACGAAAAAAATTTGCCCATGCAGGTTTTGAACCTGCGACCTTCGCGTTATTAGCACGACGCTCTAACCAACTGAGCTAATAGGCCTTCCCGAATGTTACACATCCTCACCGTACTGCCGTTGCATTTGCCTACTGCACATACACTATGGCTTTCTTGACAAAGCACATTCTAGTAACAAACGACATAAACGGCTAATCTGCATAAGTGAATGGTCGTAGAGACGTTTCCTTGATGGAAAAAACAAGTGATAGAAATATTGGCCCATGCAGGTTTCAAACTTACGACCTTCGCATTATTAGCACGACGCTCTAACCAACTTCTCTAATAGGCCTTCTCGAATGTTACACATCCTCACAGCACTGCCATTGCATTTGCCTACTGCACATAAACTATGGCTTTCTTGACAAAGCATATTCTAGTAATGAACGACATAAACGGCTAATCTGCGCAATTGAATGGTTGTAGAGACATTTTCTTGATGAAAAAAAACAAAGTGATGATAAAAATTAAAACAGGTGAG